AGAAAACAATAACAAGAAAAAACATGAAGACAAGAGAACACAAGAACACAAGAACAAGAAAAAAAACATGAAGACTAGAGACCACAAGAAAACAATAACAAGAAAAAAAATAAAGACTAGAGACCACAAGAAAACAATAACAAGAAAAAAACATGAAGACTAGAGAACACAAGAAAACAATAACAAAAAAAAACATGAAGACTAGAGAACACAAGAAAACAATAACAAGAAAAAAAATAAAGACTAGAGACCACAAGAAAACAATAACAAGAAAAAAACATGAAGACTAGAGAACACAAGAAAACAATAACAAAACAAAAACCATGAAGACTAGAGAACACAAGAAAACAATAACAAAACAAAAACCATGAAGACTAGAGAACACAAGAAAACAATAACAAGAAAAAAACATGAAGACAAGAGAACACAAGAACACAAGAACAAGAAAAAAAACATGAAGACTAGAGACCACAAGAAAACAATAACAAGAAAAAAATAAAGACTAGAGACCACAAGAAAACAATAACAAGAAAAAAACATGAAGACTAGAGAACACAAGAAAACAATAACAAAAAAAAACATGAAGACTAGAGAACACAAGAAAACAATAACAAGAAAAAAAATAAAGACTAGAGACCACAAGAAAACAATAACAAGAAAAAAACATGAAGTTCAAGAAAACAATAACAAAACAAATACCATGAAGACTAGAGAACACAAGAAAACAATAACAAGAAAAAACATGAAGACAAGAGAACACAAGAACAAGAAAAAGACATGAAGACTAGAGAACACAAGAAAACAATAACAAAACAAAAAACATGAAGACTAGAGAACACAAGAAAACAATAACAAAACAAAAAACATGAAGACTAGAGAACACAAGAAAAAAATAATAAGAAAAAAAACATGAAGACAAGAGAACACAAGAAAACAATAATAAGAAAAAAAAAACATGAAGACAAGAGAACACAAGAAAACAATAACAAGAAAAAACATGAAGACTAGAGAACACAAGAAAGCAAACAAACATTAGAGGATATTTTAACATGAACGAATATTAGAGAACACAAAACCACGAACACAAACAAACACTAGAGAACATATTAATAACAGATACTACAGAACGAGAATATGAACGAAAACTAGAGAACACAAGAACACGAATGATCGGTAGAGAACACAAGAACGCGAATGAAGACGAACGAAAAAAAAACACAAGAAAACAAACTAGAGAACACAGGACACGAATGAACACGAACAAACACTAGAAAACACACACAAAAACAAACAAACGAACACTAGAGAACAGAAGAACACGAAAACTATAAGACACAAGAATATAACTCTAGGAAACCCAAGAAAAAACACGAAACAAGAACACATAATAGAAAACAAGGAAACAGTAGAAAACACAAGAACAACAGAGACAACGAGAACAACTGAGATCATGAGAGCAACAGAGAGAATACGATAACCGAAAACACGAGAGAGAGAGAGAAAAAAGTGCTTACGAGAACAGAGGACACGGAAATAACAGAGAACAGGAGAATATCAAAGAACACGAGATAAATAGACATAGATCACAAAACAAAGATTACGAGAACAACAGAGAACAGAAGAACAATAGAGAACACAATAAACAAACACAAAACCGAGAACTGAGAACACAAGAACAATACACAACAAAAGAACAATAGAAACACACAACAAAAGAACAATAAAAGCACACACACACACAAACAACAGCAAAAACAGAGAGAACAACGAGAACAGAGAACCAACAACAGAAAACAAAGAACAGAGAACGGAGAACAGAGAACCAACAACAGAAAACAAAGAACAGAGAACGGAGAACAACGAGAATCAATAACAGAAAACAAAGAACAGAGAACAGAGAACCAACAACAGAAAACAAAGAACAGAGAACTGAGAACCAACAACAGAAAACAAAGAACAGAGAACAGAGAACCAACAACAGAAAACAAAGAACAGAGAACCAACAACAGAAAACAAAGAGAACAGAGAACCAACATCAGAAAACAAAGAGAACAGAGAACCAACAACAGAAAACAAAGAACAGAGAACGGGAAAAAAAAACGAGAACCAAACAACAGAAAACAAAGAACAACGAGAACCAACAACAGAAAACAAAGAACAGAGAACGGAGAAACAACGCGAACAAACACCTACCAATAAGCCTCGGGTCCAGTGCATCCAACGCCCCTGAGACCGAGAAGGAATAGATACTGGTCGGGTCTTTCTCCCAGATGATGCCACAGTACCCGTCAGGAGGCAGGATGCATACCCCGTAGTCCATGTTTCGGATCTGACGGGTGCCTGGTTTGAGGGAAGGGAGGGAAGGGAGGGAAGGGAGGGAAGGGGAGGAGGAGGGAAGGGAAGGAGGAGGGAAGGGAAGGAGGGAAGGGAGGGAACGGAGGGAAGGGGAGGAGGAGGGAAGGGAAGGAGGAGGGAAGGGAAGGAGGAGGGAAGGGAAGGA